TCATCATCTTGTTGCAGTTCTTTTTGATCATCTGATTGACTTTACTGGACGGGCAGGGCCCACAGCCCGATGGGCCGGCACCAGCGGTCGCCCGCTCTGGCAGACTCTCCTCATTGCCCATTTTGGTGCTACCACCACCGCTAATCCTAGCCAGCTGCAGCAGTCGGTAGAAGAGCAGCAGAGGCAGTGAACGATTCAAACTCTCCACCTGTTGCTTCACCCGCTGTCGCTCCGCCTGCAAATGCTCCAGCTGCCTCTCGGCTGCACACAGATCGTCGCGCAGGATTAGGCACTCGGCACGGCAGTCCCGATATTTGGCGGCCAACGCGTCTTTGCTAAACTCTAGCTCCACGTTACGTTGTCGCAGTATTTCGAGCTCCTCCTCGTTGCGCTGCAAATGGAAGCGTGTATCGTTCTCGGCTTCCTCGAACTCGCACTTCGCCTCGTCCAGCAGAGCGTTCTGCTCGAGAAGCTGCTCCACTCGCTCGCTCAACTCCTTCACTTGCTTGTTCAGCTGCAGCTCGCGCTGCAGACGCTCCGCCAAGTGTTTGGCCTGGGTCTCGCCGCTACTCTCATAGACGAGCAGCTTGCTCTCCAGCTGGATGACCCGTTCCTGGTAGTACTGCAGGTGGGGGTGTTCCGCTATTGAGGACGCTGTCGAGAGATCGCATTCGACAAAGACGCCGCTCTCGCTGAGGCTGCTGTTCTGCAGTCTGTGCAGCTGCTTGCTGGGCGTTGCCGGAGCTGTGGGAGTGGCACTGTTGCTGTACGGCTGTACGGTGGCTACGATCCGACTGTGCCTCGTCCGTGGTTCCGCCTTCGTCTGCAAGAGCAAGCAAAGCGAACAAGAAGCCGCACTTGAATTTATGTTCCAGAAATGTTTATGTGTGGTTATTGATTTTCTTAAGGATTAAAAAACTGTCTGCCTCTGCTGGGGTCTAAATATAAATCTCGATCGCTCAAAATCAAAAAATTCCTAACTACTGACTGACTTCTGACTACATCTAAACATACATACACACAACACACAGACAGACACACCTTCCACATGCATACTCTATTTGTATATTTTGTTCAGAGAATATACGCACCGCTGACTGCCAACTCTCCTGCTCCACGACCGCATCTAGATCGAGCTGCTGCACGCACAGCAGCAACTGTTGCAAGCAACGCTTGTCCTTCTCCTCCAATTGCTGTGAAGTCTTGCGTAATAAACTCTCCAGGCGCTGGCAATGGTCCGCACATGTGCCATCCATCTGGGAATAATGGAAGAGAATCGTATAAATCATGAAGCTTGAACGAATGTCCTATACATAATAAGAAAATATTAATTATAATCTTCACTGTAATTATATATTATACAAGTACTAATAGATATAAACAAATTTACATTATTTACAGCAATATCAATATCAATCTTAGTAAGCTCCAATATTTATGTTACTCCTAAAAAGTCAAGAGTTAGCAGCAATAATAACAAAGCTCTATTACTTCTAAGCATTTCTCGTTCTCGGCTGCTTCGACTTGAGTGTGTCACCAGAAACTGTTCAGCGTAAGCCTTTGAGCAAAAAACAAATCGAGTCTCAACATTATTTGTGTTTGTCTCTATGTGAGTGAGTCATGCGGACAAAAATCACTTGAAAAGGAACGCTGAGCTTGTAATGCACACCTGGATTTCTCGTTCAAACGTGCAAAATGGATTTGTTTATACAGCTGTGTGGCCCTAAATAGCTTCACATTAGCTTTCAGACTAGACTCTCTTTGTTATATAATCATTGCAAGGTGCTGCAACAACAAACTTCAGCTATAACATTTTATAAATCCAATTACTTTTACTTTTCAAATATCAAATATTTAATTTGATATTTGGTATTATTATTCCCAATTTATATAACTAATTTTATAATTTTTTATATTCAGACTCTTGATATTTTCATGCTATTTTTATCATTTTTCCAATGCATTCTGGGATTTGTATTTGTTGAATATTATTTATTTAATTATAATAAATCTTTCACAAATCTCAATTTTTTTATTCATTTGTTATTATTGAATAATAAGCTATTATTTCTGTTGTTTATTTCTTTAAGTAGTTTTCTAGAAATTGTAAATAAAGGTGAAATTTATACAATCTCATAGCAGACTCTGAAAATTGTTTTAATTTCAATGCGAGCAACAACTTCAATTAGCATTCGCTTAATGCACCACTGATTAACGATGCTTCTGAAGTTATTTTCACTTTACTGGCAAGCCTACTACTCACTGAACTAAGCTGCCAGTTAAGTATATATACTGGTATTTATATGTGTGCATATAGAGTAATTAGTTTTTGTTATTGCAATTAAGCAAACGAATTAGATTTTCAAGCTGAGCGACTTCGCAGCTCTGGCGTTCGGCTCTAGAAATTCAAAGTAACAAAACACAAGCCCCGAAAGAAGGTGTGTAACAAAGTCGTGAGTAATGTGGACTCTACATATCTACATATGTCTTTGCATATATATTCACAAAAATGCTTGACACATGCCTGCGGAGTAGACCCTTATACAAACAAACAAAGACAACAGCTATTTTGAACTTGGCCAAAAATGAAAAACGCAAAATAAAGCATCTCATCAAAGCCTTTTAGGCAACTGATGTGGGCTTCAAGTTGTTTCTCAACTAGTAAAGAAATCAAAAATATAAATAGTTGTATTTATTGGATAGTTGAGCTG